TAGGTTCGAACTTGTTCGTGGGCCTGACCTACTTCTATTTTTCAGGTACTCGTCAGTTTCAGACTTAGACCTGATCGTGCTGAGTAGAGACTAATACTCACTCTTCCGACGACGTAGGACTTTTCTCTATGGTTTCATTTTTTTGATGTTCTTTTGAGTATTTATACTTTAGTTTGGATTTTCGTATTAGGGGTCCAATGGATGGATTCTCGAGTTGTTTAACTATTGGAGGTTTTAGAATTTTAAGTATTTAATTTTAAGGATTCTCTTTTAGATTTCTTCCAGCTATTAATTATTTATTTCTGATTTCATTTTGTAGTCTGTGTTCATTTATATATTAATTGTTTGATATTCCTTCGGGTTTGGGCCTGGGCCTGATCAACCCGTGTCTTGGATCCGAGGGGTATCACACAACAACCACAAACTAGGAATCTAAAATTAGAATGCTTAGGATCAAATTTAAGGGGAAAAATTCACAAAAGACCCAAGAAGTTATAGATTAGAACACTCCTACCTTAATGGAAGTGAAAACCCCAAAAATTCCCAATTTCAAGCCCTAAGTTCGAAATCCATGGGCTTGGCCAAATGGTGCTTGGCTCCTATCAAATCGACGGCCTCGACGAGCTCTTCGACTTTGCTTCACAAGGTATTACCAAATTCGCGATAGTAAATCCTTCATCTAAGCTTAAAGTGTGGAGAAAGAAAAAGAAAATAGAAACTAAGGGGGAGAGAGAAAACTGCCGAGAGGAATGAATTTGGTTTGTAATGGCCACATGAAATGATATACAAAATAGTGGGTCCTAAGCTTTAATTAAACATCTTATAACTTTAACATTAATATATATAAAAATAATTTTAAACATTACATTCTCCCCAACTTTAAAAGATTTCGTCCCCGAAATCAAGCGATAGTTGAGGGAGAAACAACTCTGGATACTTGGAGCGAACCTCCTGTTCGAGCTCCTAAGTAGCCTCCTCAACTCTATGATGCCTCCAAAAAACTGTGATACCCCTCGATTCTAGAGCCACGAGTGATCAAGTCCGAGTATAGATCCGAGGGATATCAGACAATTAATATGTAACCAAGCAAGAATAAAACTGAATTAAGAATAAACTAATAATATGCTGAAAAAAACTAAAATGAAAATCCTCGAACCTTAAATAATAAATTGATAACATTTAAATCCGTCAAATCTGTACAACTCGGGAATCCATCTAGTGGACCCCTAATAATTCCAACTGGTAAAACATTTACAGAATCAAAATCCAAAACCAAAATAAGAAAGAATATCCTATGTAGTCAGAAGAGTGAGTGACTGTATCTGCATCACCACGATCAAACCCTAAGCCTGGTACTCACGAACACCTGAAAAAATAGGAGTGGGTCAGGCCCACATGCAAGTTCCAATCTACTACAATCCGTACATAAACCCGATACGTAGATACATCCCAGATAGCTCGGCAATATCTACAATAGTCCATATATATATATACACACTATAGGATGCTCACTAGCCTATAACATAGTTCAGCCTGAGTAGAAGGTGACCTATAAAACACGCTTTTCAGCGGCCAAGTACCTAGACCTACCAGGGAACATTAGCTATATCTAGCTACTCAACCTTTGCAATATACGCACCCTAACCGTGATCAGGAGACTCAAGCTCGTATCACGGTATCATAAATATATATATAAATTCCTTCCTAAATGCAGAAAGATAAAACAAACATCCGTTATGTCGTTCAACTGTTTTAGTTGACAGGACATGTATCCATGTAGGAGTTAACTATTTTAGTTAATCCATTCCATATGTATGAAGGGGTAGGACTTAGCTTTTTAATCTAATCCATCCCTAATATGTCACCGTCCCATACCGGTGCATATAATGCAAATGATCCTTGAATGATGCAACATTTTAAGCAGTTCATCAAATCATATCCACGTAATCCAAATAGTTGATATACATAATTTAAACAGTTCATCAACTAGCAATCCAGAATCCATCCACGTAACTAATCAAGACAAGGTTTAATAGTTCACCAAGTTAAAATCCAGCATCCATTTATGTAATTGACAGAAAATATATATATAGTTATTTCTTCAATTAATTCCAGGCCAACATCCAATTAAATTAACAGAACCCAAATATTAGTTCAGAAATTTAAGTCCAAACTATAACCCAAGTAATTGTAGAATAGTGCTTAATATCACAGCAATTACTATCCAAGCTCAAATCCATATATCGCAGAAAAAGAATTTGTATTTCATTAATTAATATCCAAGGTATGCATAGATCAACCATGATATATAAATGATCCTAGCATGCTACCATGATAAAATTTATAAAGATATATATACTCCGTTAAACTGCTGAAATTAAACTGGGCAATTAAACCCATTCCTTCCATTAACAGCCTGCACCGTTGAACTTTCCTACGGTTAAATCCATGAATATAAAAACATTAATTTATCAAGTGTGGCTCCAATATAGCCTAATATCATGTTTAAAGTCCATGCTACCATCCGTTAAATTTTTAAAACAAGACTTAGCAACTTAGTCATTCCGATCCGTTAGCAGCATACAAAGTCGCTTATTTTTACACTGTTTATTCCATTTGCCCTATGAACCAAATCATACACTTAGATGGTTTAACATCCCTTGAAATTACTTTTAGAATTTTCATTCTAGTCCCTGAAACCATTTAAAATCTCAAACATGGCCCAAAAGTGCCCAGACAAATTCCAGAACGCACCCAAACAAGACCCAACCAAAGGAGCCTGCTCTAAAAATCAAGAGCAGGCTCTTTTTACCCTAGAGCCAGCTCCCTAACCCCTTGGAGCCGGCTCTATGAAGGGGGGAGCCGGCTCCCACCTTCTGGAGCCGCCTCTCTCCTCCTTTGAGCCTTCTCATCTCCTCCAACTTCTTTTCTGCTTCGTCCGGTTACCTTCTGTGTTTCCGGCGACGTCCAATATCCTATTCCAGACTTCTTAAGATTATTAGAGGTCAATTAAAGTTCTTAAACCCCTAGAGACTCCTCTTATTCTAGTGCGAACCGATTGACAAAGAACTTAAACTACACACAACAGTTTATGCAAGAAAAACCAAATTCAGTTTAACTAAGCATACGAACAGTTTAAAGTCTGAAACATATATCAACAATTCATTTTAAAGTTTTCAGTGTTAAATTGTAGTCCAAACCATCCTAGAAACTCCTTACAAATAAATTTACAGAAGTTTAAAACCATACTCAACACAGGTTTATGCAAGAACTAAATTTCAGTGATCTAAACCATAAACAGATTACAGTCTGATACATTATGCGTCAATCATGAATTTTTTTTTAAAAGTTTAATTAGTCCCTGGAGACTATAAAGAATGCACAGAACACAAGTTTACAGGAAGGAGAGAAGGAAACTTGCCTCTAGGTTTCAGTTTGAAACCTTCAACCTTCGTCTGCAAATTCCGGCAAACCTAATACATTCCCTTCCTCCTTTGGTCACTGCCCCTTTTTCCTCTGTTTTGCCTTCTCAAAACTAATACGTGCATAGGATTTTCTAACCCTAGCAGACTTATTTTGTTCAATATATATAGGCCTTCATTCTATATTTAACCTACTTTTAATTTCGACTAATTTACAAGTCGGCTAAATACTCCCCATAAAAGAAAACCCTAACCCTAATCTATATCCACGACCATTTAAAAAAATTAAATAAACAATTAACAAATAAATTATATAAACTAACCAACAATATACGTCAATTAAATCATACAAATAAAATAATGAAATTAAATCACATACAAACAATTCAACTATTAAATTAAATACACATAAATAGCAATTAAGCAATTAAGCAAATACACATAAAATAAATTTCTCAAATAAAACAATCAATTCAAACAACTAAGTCATATAATCAAATAAAAATGAAATAAAAATGAAAATGCAAAATTAAATTCCCATTTTGTCCTTTTGAAAACTAGGGGTATTACAAGAACCTTTACCAACGGTATCGTCTTGTTCCTTAACACCTTCTACCGAGTGTTAAGGATCTGAACTGGTCCTTCCTTATAGGAAACATCCTCATCAATATCAACCTCAACCCAGCTCAAAACATGAGATGGATCCGGCTCGTACTTTTGTAGCATCTATACATGAAAAATATTATGGACCTTGTTCATCTGTGGTGGCAATACTAGTCTGTAGGCAACCTTTCCTACACGGTCCAAGATCTCAAAATGTCCAATGAATCGAGGCGACAACTTGCCACTCTTTTCGAACCTCATCAACACCTTCCGTGGAGAAACCCGAAGAAAAACGTGGTCTTCCACCTCAAAGGATAGCTGCCGTTTCCGCCTATCCGCATAACTCTTTTGTCGACTCTGAGCTGTAAGCATCCTTTGCTTGATCAGCTTAATCTTCTCGGTAGTCTCGAGTACAATGTCGGGTCCTAAGGCGGCTATCTCTCAGTCCAACAAACAGGAGACCTACAAGGTCTACCATACAACGCCTCAAATGGAGTCATCTAAATACTTGCCTGATAATTCTTGTTGTAGGCAAACTTAATAAGTGGAAGGTGGTCCTCCCAACTACATCCTTAATCAAGAACACAGGCCCGAAGCATATCCTCCAAGATCTGGATGGTACGCTCCGATTGGTCGTCCGTCTACGGATGGGATGCTGTACTAAAGTGCAGCGGTGAGCCAAACGTTGCGTGAAGTCCCTCACTTCAAAGTGAATTTAACATCCCTATTTGAAATAATAGATATAGGAACTCCGTGCAGCCTCACAATTTCCTTCACATACAGCACACCAAATGTCTCTGCGTCATCTGTTGCCTTAATAGGCAAGAAGTGAGCCGTCTTGGTCAATCTATCAATAATGACCTATATGGCCTCATTTCCCCTCCGTGACCTAGGAAGACCTGTCATAAAATCCATGGCAATCTGCTCCTATTTCCACTGCGCTACTGGTAATGGTTGCAATAAACCAGCTGGTCTCTAGTGCTCGGCCTTCACCTGTTGACTAGTAAGGCATTTAGCTACAAACTGTGCAATGTCCTTCTTCATCCCACTCCACCAGTACTGACGTCTCAGATTATGATACATCTTGGTACCACCAGGGTGAACTACAAAGCGGGAGGTGTGAAACTCCCGTAAGATGTCCTCACGACAAACTGTGGAAACAACTAACAAGCCCCTAAATTGTAGACCTCCATCTATATGTAAGGTCCAATCCTTCACTGTTTCATCACCAGAAATCAGAGTGTGAATAACATCCAAATCTAGATCCTGTCTCTGTAACTCAATCACTCGTCCGATAAGAGTGGGCTGAGCCACGAGACTACAAAAAAATGCTGACTCATTGCCAACATCATTATCAAAACAATACAATCCCATCTCTGCTAAATCTTTAAGCATCTTCCTTTTCCGAATGGCTAACGGCCAAAGTTCCACGAGATTTCCGGCTTAAAGCATTAGCTACCACATTTGCCTTGCCAGGATGATACTACAAATCAAAGTTGTAGTCTTCTAAGAACTCAGCCCATCGTCTCTGTCTGTTGTTCAAGTCCTTTTGGGAGAAAAAGTACTTGAGATTCTTGTGATCCGAAAATACCTCAAATCTCTCGCCATACAAATAGTGTCTCCAACACTTCAAAGCAAACACGACTGCCACCAACTCCAAGTCATGAGTGGGGTAGTTAAGCTCGTGAGTTTTCAACTGTCGAGACCCATAAGCAGTTATTCTACCATCTTGCATCAACACACAACCCAAACCATCACGTGATGTATCGCAATAAATCACATAACCCAAGCTATGCTCGGGTATCACTAACACTGGAGCTGTAGTCAACCTTGTTTTCAACTTTTGAAAGGAAGACTCACAGGCTTCATTCCATATAAATTTGATCCCTTTATGGGTCAATCTGGTCATAGAAGCTGCCAAACGGGAAAAATCCTTCACAAATCTGCGATAGTAACCCGTTAAACCAAGGAAACTCCGAATCTCAAATACATTTTTGGGTTGCTCCAAATTCAAAATTGCCTCTATCTTTGAAGGATCAACTGAAACCCCACCTTCCGAGACAACATGTCCCAAAAACTTCACCTCTTGTAACCAAAACTCACACTTTTCATATTTGGCATACAAACGGTGCTCCCATAAAATCTGCAATACTATACTCAAATGGACCTTGTGCTTTTCCCGAGTACATGAAAACTACCACAAACTGATCCAAATAATCATGGAAGACACGGTTCATTAGATCCATGAATGCCGCTGGTGTATTAGTCAGACCAAAGGGCATGACAAGAAACTCATAATGTCCATACCGTATACGTAACGATGTCTTTGGGATATCTTCATCCCTTACCCGCAACTGGTAATAGCCTGACCTAAAGTCAATCTTCGAAAAACAACCAGCTCCCCTCAACTGGTCAACCAGATCATCTATCCTTGACAAAGGATACTTGTTCTTGATAGTGGCATGATTCAACTTTCGGTAATCAATGTATAACCTCAAAGAACCATCATTCTTCTTAGTGAAGAAGACCGGTGCGCCCCACGGTGACACACTCGGTCGGATGAAGCCTTTTACTCTCAAATCATCAAGTTGCTTCTTCAATTCTTCTAATTCAATCGGCGCCATATGATACGGTGCCATAGAAATTGGCGCGGTACTAGGCATTAAGTCAATAGCAAACTCCACCTCTCGGTTTGGAGGCAACTCTGTCAAGTCCTCTGGAAACACATCTAGAAAATTACGCACAACCTCCGGATAATCAATCCCACAAAACTCAACATCATCGTTGGCAAAAAGGCTAGCCAAGAAGAACGTCTACCGATCCCGACCTCTAATACCGTAAAATGAAGGAGTGAGAGAATCACACCGATCTCCCACAAAACAGAAACAATCTCCATCTGGGGTACATACTGACACTTTGCCTCCGAAGTAACCAAAAACGGCTTTGAAGGAAGACAACCAGTCCATCCCAAGAATGACGTCAAACCCTGTTATCTCGAGAAGGATGAGATCGAACTCAAGAACTCATCCGGCAATGGTGATGGAACAATTCCTACAAACTCTGCTAAGAGTGATTCAACCCCCAATTGGCGTGTCAACACAAAGCAATTTATCTAACAGACTAATCTCCAATCCCAATGCCCGTGCAAATGATAAAGCAATGAATGAATAGGAAGTATTAGAATCAAACAACACTCTAGCCCAAGAATGGGACACAAGGAACATACCCATAACAATTGAAGGACTAGATGATGGCTCGGTTGGAGTGACTGCATACACACAACCCTGAGTCCTCTGCCCCTGATAATCATATGTTTGATAACCCAGCTGCTAAGTGGGTGCACTCGAAGAAGCCCCTCTGCCAGGTCGAGAACTCTGATCTGTCATAGTTAGCTGAGGTGGTGGCGGCAGTTGAAATCTTGACTGAACTGTGGTGGATTGTGTCTGCCTTTGCTGTGAACCTCTACCTCTACTAGAACCACTGCCCCACTGTGGACAATTTCTTACCTTATGGCATGTAAGCCACATCCAAAACATCCACTTAATGCCGCCTGAACCTGCATGCACTGTGACTTGAGATGCCCCACCTACCCACACTTGAAACAAACTACCTAAGCCTGAGTGTATTAGGACTTGTAATGTCCCGGCTGCCCATATCTGAAATAAGTAACATTCAGTCTGGAAGACCTAATGGACACTGAAGCTGTGGGTGCGGGTTTAGTTGACTGCTGTTCCTTGAACCCTGACTGCTCATTCTTCTGCTTCTTATGTGATTGACCCCGGAGATAGCACTCATGCTCTTGTTGTGCTTATAGGACTCTCTAATAGCTCTGCTGTCCTTGTTTTTGGCTCAACTACTAAGGCTTTTCGCACTGCTTTTGCAAACTCTGTCGGTTTCGAGGCAGCCACAATTGGCCTGATGGTGAGATCAAGGCTGTCAACAAACTTCTCTATTTTTCCCTCCTCATCCCTTGCAATCCTTGGTGCAAACCTCAAAAGTGATGTAAACTTATTCTTATATTCAGTAATAGTCATATTCCCTTGCTTTAGCCCATCAAACTCTTTCTTTAATTCCCTTCGCTTAGGTGCCAGAGAGTACTTCTCATAGTACAACTTCTTAAATGCATCATATGTCATGGTGTCCAAATCATGTGTGTGAGAAACGGTCTTCCACCAAATCTCTGCATCCCCAACAAAATTGTAAGTTGCCAATGTGATCTTCAACTTATCCGTCGCCAAATTCATAGCGTTAAGATGCTTTTCCACCCTATCCATGAAACTATCCGCAATAAGTGGATCTGGAATGCCCTCAAACAGAGTTGGCATCAATTTCACAAACTTTGCAATGTGGTAAAAAGTATCATTTGACTCACTTTTCTCTGGAGGTGGTGCTGGTGGTGGCATAACCTGTGACGATGATGCCACTGCAGTCCGAAACACATTATGAAAGGCTACCTGCACTGCTAACTTAAGCTGCTCCTCACTTATCTGAAGAGGTGGATCAATGGTCCCCTTCGTTTGTCCCTCTCTTGGTGGGACCAAATCCTGTAACAACACATCCTCTTCAACTTGCTCCTGACCCCTTTCTGTGGGATTGTAGCTAGAACTCCCCCCGGGATCCTTTCATGGTGGCATGATGCTATAAGGAAAAGGAAAAGGAAAAGGAAACGGCTGAAAAACGATGACACTAAAACACGTCCGAGAATTGAGTCCTCACATGAATGACTTGACAAGAATGGAAACACATAAACACCTTCCATACTCTCGGAATACCCAACTAATGATAAACATGATCATGATAATAATATACATCAACTTTAAACACTTAACACGTAATCATATAAGCGATTAAGCAATTAAACATGCTTTTCAAACAATTAAACACCTTATCACATGAAACATGCAATTCAACCTCTCATGCAATCCTAGGTAAGCCTCTACTCGTCGTCCTAATGGTATTCGAACCATTGCTCTGATACCAAATTTGTAACGACCCAAAAAGATGCCAATAATAATAATAATAATAAAATATATAAAATTTCGGCATGACTTTCGCAGAAAAAGTCCCTCTACAACTTGTTGAAATATATAAAGTTGCAATGGTCTCACTGAGCCTTAAAACTAATCTATTCTGTCCCAACACACAATGCAAATAATATACCACATTCCCAAAATGATTACATACATATATATATATATATAAATTCCCATTCCTCCATCTCATCCAAACAAGGAATCACCAGTTCACTACGTAGTCCCATAATCTTTTACAAGGAACGTACTTTAATTACATCAAGTTACAGTCCATGAAATATAGCCAAAATTTAAAAGTCCATAACTTACAACATTATACTAATTAAACTAAAATTTCACAAAATAGTTAAGATTACATTTATAAAATATTAAAGTTCTAATACAAAAAATAGTAAAAAAAATAGATCTCCAATCCTGTCTAAACTTGTAGTAAATCGTCGTCCGCCACCTTTTTTCAGTGTCCTGAAAAATGTTAAAAATAATGGGGTGAGCATAAACTCAGTAGAAAGTGTCTAAGATACACTTCTTATGACTCCGTAAATCCACGCAAAGAATATGTAAAAAGTAGGCGGGATCATACTATAGGGGATGCACATCAGTAATCACAACAACAAGTATATAAATATATGTCATCCAAAGACAAATACACCATATATGCTAATGAAGTGCAATGTCATACCAATGTCACTCCCCATTCCCGAAACATTTTCGTTTCAACTTCCAAACCGTTAGTGTAATTCGACCCAAGGCACTTTAAAGTCGTTACGAAAGGAGGATTGACTAACCATCCACGACCACAAGGCACCTCCAAGGTGTCATATTCGGCCTAGTTAGCTCAACCACGCTATGGTCTCTCCCTAGTCCCCTCTAGACCATACTAACACCACGAACAACTAAGCGTTTCCTAGGCGTCCGGTTTTCGCAATTACTTTTAGAAAACACTTTTCCCAAAATAATTTCATTTGTTTAAAAACATTTTTTCCCTTTTCTTTCCCAATGGATACGTGAATGCTTTATACTTCAAATCATCAATTTAACTATAGGATTTCACACATTCCATTTACATCATCATCACAATTTAATAGGAATTTCTACACATTCATTTCAATTTTTTTTTTTTTTTTTCATAACAATAGCATCAATTTTTCAAAGCAATAAATAATAATAATAAAAATCATAGAACATACAACATGTCAACACTAAGTATGCTCATTCACCGTAATGAAAATAGTTATGTATATGAACTCAAATAACACATAGAACACATTTATTATTTTGATTACACATAATTACAACAACCACAAACTAAGTAATAAAAAATTAGCATGCTTAGGATCAAATTTAAGAGGAAAAATTCACAAAAGACCTAAGACGTTATTGATTAGAACACCCCTACCTCAGTGGAAGTGAAAACCTCCAAAATCCCCAATGTCAAGCCCTAATTTCAAAATCCCTAGGCTTGGCCAAATGGTGCTTGGCTCCTATCAAATCAACGGCTTCGATGAGCTCTCCGACTTTGCTTCACAAGGTATTACCAAATTCCCTACAATAAATCCTTAATCTAAGCTTAAAGTGTGGAGAAAGAAAAAGAAAATAGAAGCTAAGGGAGAGAGAGAAAACTACCGAGAGGAATGAATGTGGTCTGTAATGGCCAAATGAAATGATAGACAAAATGGTGGGTCCCAAGCCTTAAGTAAATATCTTCACAGGTAGTTTTGTTAAGCTAATGTGCAGATTACAGGTTGCTATATGTGTTGAAGCTTTATGAGGTTCAAGAACACTTCCGTTTTATTTATTTGACAATCATTGTAATTTGCTTTTTCTGCTTGGGAAAATTACATGTTGTTTTTAGGGTTTTTGTCACAAAATTGCCAAAGGGGGAGATTATGAAATATATATTTTGGGGAGATTGTGAAAAATATATATATTGTATATTGGTTAATTTCATTGTCAAAACAAGTCCGATCGAGTTGTAATATTTCGGTTCAGAATTTCAAGGTTGAAGATCGGATGCGGATTTGAAGAAGTTCAAGGGTTCATAGTTTATTACACTCCGGGATAATGAGAACAATGCTTTAGGAAGGTATGTGAGTGAGTAAGAACACTTTAGGGAGTTTAGAAGGTTGAAGGAAATAGAGATTTCACTTTTGCCTCTTGGGAACCGGTAGGAGGATTCTTGAACCGGTACCATATTTGGGAACTGGTATCCAAAATGCATCAAAAAGGCTTCTAACCTTCTTGAACCGGTACCACAGTTGGGAACCAGTTCCAGGAGTCCTGACAGCATTAGAATTTCAGTTTCCTTATCCGTTTTGATTTCTTTTTGGACCAAACTTTCTTCCAAGTCTGATGCACGAAATTTTCTATATTTTCAGAGAGATTAGGACATTCTAAACTCAATATAAATCTTATTAGTCATCTAGGTTTATTCATGGCTTTAAGGAACATCAATTCTATATTTTGAGAAAGCCTTTAGAAAGATATTTTTATACACGGCTTTTGCATACAAAATTTCAGATATTTGAGAGAGCCTTTTGAGAGATATTTTTATTCAGAAAATCAATCCGATTTTTCCAATTTTATTTTTGAGAGCACACACATAAACACAAGAGTGATTTAGGAGTGTTGTTCTCTATCTCATCGGAATTGGAGCATAATCGAAGATTTATAAATTCCAGAAAAGCAGAATTCATTCGTTCTTCATCAAATTCAGATCTAGAAGAAAATGGGTGAAATGATCATACTTTGAAGGGGTCAGAGCATTCGTGGAGTGTTGTCTGATCTACCTGCAACTCTTCTATAGAGATCAAGTGTAAGCCTGAGGTAGAGAACTATTGGACGGTGGAGTCATAAATTCAGGGATCGTCAGCAATTGGCTTTTGGTAGAACAATAGAGTGTGAGACTGACTCAAAGTTCAGTATACTTTGCTTTAAATATAGTGGATTGTTTATCTCAGGACTGGAGAGTCTAACGAGGTTTTTCCTGTTACAATTGGTCTATTATACCAATTGGGGTTTCCTCGATAAAATTCTGGTGTCATCTCTCAAACTCTATTTACTTTACTTGCACTTTATTTTTGCTTTATGGTTTGATTTTAGTTTTATTTCGATAAAATTAAAATAAGTTAAAATTGGATAAAAGAGCAAGTTGAATTTATTAACCACTCCTCTAGGTTATCTATCCATATTATATTCCACAACCATTCTGCTGCACACAAACTCTTAACAGAGTGTTGGGCGTCCTGATCTTAAATGACCCCGATTTGATTTGTTAAGGCCCCAAACACTAAATAGGGATTCAATAACTGTTGTATGTGAATTTAAAGGCATGAACTTTACGTATACATGTGAATTCGGATTTCATTCAATTTTTAAGTTGTAAATTGAATACTTTAAATTGTTCAAATATTGGAACTTAAATGTTTAGCATGGTATATGATTTTAATAATTGTAATTGCTGGAACTATATGATATCATAATATTGTATAGCTGGATTTAAGATTGTTATGGTTGATTTAAAGGGCTTTATTAAATTAGAAGTTATTCATGTGATTTGATAAGGTTAATTGCTACATTAATTGCAATAACAGATAATGTGATTTAAATCATATTCATGGCTGTGTTGTATAATCTAATATGTGATATATCTTTGTTATATGTGAGGCCATTGTCAGGATATGGCTATACTATATATATTATGTCATTGTCAGGAGATAGCTACGTTATTATTTGTGCCATTGTCGGGATATGGCTTGATTATTTGTTGGTTTATTGTCAGGATATGGTTACAATATTTTATTTCTGTCCCTGCCATTGTCAGAATATATATTGATACGGTGTTTTATATGGGGTTCGTGCCATTGTTAGGATATATATGGATACGGTGTTTTATATGGGGTTGCGCTATTGTTAGGATATGGCTTTATATATTTATATATTATTATATGTACCATGATACAAGCTTGAGCTCTTGTGATCGATGGTTAGGAAGGAAACGTATATTGCCAGTTGAGATGGGTAGCTGGATTTAGGGATGTGTATGCTCTGGTAGAAGGAGGACTCGTGACCACCTTAGTGTGCACTTTGCATGAGATACTCACTATCTGGTTGAGTCTGCCTTAGTCCAGTGAGAGTTTTTAGTGTGTTTATTATATACCTATCGACTATGTAGTTATAGCATGAGTTAGCTAGGGGTGTATTGTTTATCAGGTCTTTGCTTCGGTTGTTGTAGAAATGATTTGTTCGTGGGTTTTGACCCACATTTGTTATATTTTTTAGGTTTTCGTCAGTAGTAGGATTAGAGGTTGCTCATGCAGATCAGAGACTTGTCTTTATTACTTTTCCGGTGTCATCGACGTAGGATTCCACTTCATTATTATTTATTTCAGTTAGGGAATTTTTATTAGGTGTCCACATTGAGGATTCCCGAATTATATTTTGGAGAATTAATTATGTATGGGAATTGGTTATTTATTCTTAGAGGTTTATTTATCTTTGGGAATTTATGGATTATTTATTCAGAGGAGTTATTTATTTATTAGTTTTCTTTGAACAATTATTTCTTTTTTATTTTTATTTTTATATTCTGTGTTAGATTTAAAATATTAATTGTTTGATATTCTTTGAATTTTGGTTTTGAACTTGATCAATTCACGGCTTGAAAATTTGGGGTTTCACAATTTGCCACTTGAACTTGGATTTTTTTTTTTCTCCTCTAGGTATCACAATTTGTCACTTGAACTTGGATTTTTGTTCAAGTCCTGACAATCGGCTCTTGTGCCACTCGCCCATTTGGACTATGGTATTTTTCCCAAGGCCTGGCGATCGGCTCTTTTAAAATATTAACCTGTCTTGTTCTACAAATCTTAGTGACTATTATTATCCCCCTGGATGTGACTCTCATAAAAATGTTTATAGTTTGAGAATCTCCCTCAATACAAATGTTGCTTTGAATGCATACTGTCATACTAGATCAAGAGCAGGTGAGGGAAATTGATTGTACACAAGGTCACCTGTTGCTATATCCTACTGAGCAACATAGTTATCAATACATGGAATTGATGATTATTGGAATTTATTCACAAATTTGCATGTGAATTATCTATAAAGTTAAACACTTTATGCCTGTTTTGTTCCCTGAAATTTTAATTGTCCTATTCACAATGTTTTTTTAAATATTTTAATGCATCTAGAAAGGAACCATTTTGAAAAATGAGAATTTTAATAGCCCTACAGTGTTCTTTATACTTGTTTACTTCTAAGTTTTTGAAATGGTAACATCATTTTTAGATGGCTACTCATTTTCCAAATGGATTAATTTTAGCACAGTTTAGAAAATATATATATAATAATTTATTATTATTAGTATTAATCCAACCAAAAAATAATATTATTATGTTTGAGGAATATATTATTATGACAGTACCTATTTCACAATTCTGATTCCTCATTTCTGGCACAGGACAATATTATTATGTTTGACGAAGAAAAATCCAAGATACGCATCATATGGACAAGTTGAAGAAACGTAGAAAACAAGACCACGTCTTGTGAATGATATGTAGAATGTGTATGTACACGTGGATTGTAACATGTTTGACTTGACTCTTGGACACTGAACAGAAGCGATTTTTTTTTTTTTTTTTTCATCAAGAGCCATTGTTATGACATTTATTTGATTGCTTAATTTTTTAATTTTTCAAAGAAAAAAAAAAATATATTTATTCAAAAATGTGTGTTTTCTTGAAAAGTGTTATCTAAAAACATAGTAAAAAAAAAAAACTTCGTATACCACTTATGTCATATAAATATAACATAATTATAAAAAAATAAAATAAAAGCAAGTAGTAGTAACAATAATTAGAATTGACTTTTCAATATAAATAACACCGACTTAATTGATTGCTTGACCAATCAAACATGTCTAACATTACTATAGTCGGTTCAACCATATTAGCATGTTTATTAACATGTCTAACAAGTTATTATTTAACATGTTTATTTTGTTCTACAGGCGTTCAATCGTTATCTACTTTGCGGCAAAATCTTATCTCTAGTCCGGTACAAAGTAGAAATCAATTCCAAGGCCAAAAACATATATAGGCTATGTCGACCACAAGATCAATAATTCCTTGCAGCTTCATCAGGCTTCATATCAATCCCTCTACCAGTTCTCAAACAATCATCTTCAACCCCATTTATCATTCTGCTGCAATCTCAAAACACAAGAACAAATCCTATTTTCCGGCCGACAGGAGGTTGCGACATATCAGCAATGGCCGGAGAAGTCAATCCGATGCCAACACAAAGATGTAATATATACTCAGTTTTCTATATATATATATATATATAACACCTAGCTGAGTTATTGCTAAGGTGTGATTTCATATGTCGATGCAGGGACTTGGTTGTTTATAACAGTGTCCAACCAGGAGCCCCACCTCCCTCAGGAACCCCTTCAGACTCAGACTCTAGGTAAGTTCAAATTAGACTCATCTATATTGCACAATTTAAATATATTTTTCTTTGGGTTCCGAAATTCAAAAACATTTTTGCTAATATTATACTCCTTTTGTCTTATATTAATGGTCAATTTTTCTCTTTTTTTTTATTTTTATTTTTATTTTATTTTTTACGTGTCCTAAATTAATTGTTCTTTTTGAAAAATTACATCTTTTCATTATATTTCCCTTAAAAACTTTAATTTCTAAAGATGACTTCTATTTAGAGACAAAGGGAGTAGCAGGAAACATTGGATTCTGGGAGTGGTAATAACAGCAATTCTACCATTTTTGAGCCACAAATGGGGGCCATTATTTAAACTGACAAGTAAGGATCAATTAAACAATTTTTATCCATTCTCTTTTTTGTTTAATAAACATTTGCTGTACTTCTTATACATACCATATATCCTTGCAAACATATATTCCTATTATTGGTGATTTTTTTTTTTTGGGTAAATATTATTGGTGATTTTGTTCTTGTGCATTTAGTTTTGTTTTTGGCGAAAGCTTGACTAATTAAACTTAGATGTATAGAGGAAGTCGAAAACGCGGTGGAGACAGCAGACGATGTAACAGAAGCTATGGAAAATATAGCAGAGCAAGTGGAGAAGGTGGCCGACGAAATTGGCGATGAGCTCCCTGAAGGTGGAAGACTTCAAAAAGCCTTTGCCTATGTTGAAAATAAGGCCAAAAAAGCAGCTAGGGATGCTCATTCAGTTGAACAATTCATCGATAAGGTTTCACCTTATACCCTTTATTTTTATCTTCTAAAATGCATCATATCGATCATCATTAAAAGAGGGACTAATTTCATTGCCTAAACATTTCTGTTAATTAATTGTCAAGATAAGTATCTCAATTTGCTTTAACAATAAAACAATTTTGATTGTTAACTCAAATGGAAACAGGTTGAGGCACTGGAGGAAGAGGTGGACTCCTTCATTGATGAGGCCAATGAGATAACCAAAGAAGCAAAGGATAAAAAACCAAGTACATAGTTTTTATTTTTGACGGTCAGTGTACCATTCTGACCTCTAATTTGTTAAGAAAATAGTGTAAGATGAGATTTGTTGAATTTATTTGTAGATGTAATTTGATTATAGTTAATTAATGGGGGAACTATACTTACCTTTGTGAGATTTGACTTAATTACGAGTAGTCGAAATATTTGCCTATTTTTTGCGAAGACCCTTTGTGTTTGATTTGATTTGATTTGATTTTTTTTTTTTATGTGATTTTACTCATCTGCTGCTAATATTTTATTATTAAAAAGCTAAAATATTTAGCTATGTCAAATTACCAATTTACCCACATTAAAAAATATTTTTTTCTCTCCTCTCTCATTCTATTCATTCACTGCCGCCACCATTTTTTTTTTTTTTTCGGTCTTACTTCCGGTAATTCCTTTGGTAGGTTCAATTGAGAAATTAAGTTAGACGAGTTTACTGGTCGTCTTCCCACAAAGGAACAGTCTAATTACTTTCAAAATGGATGCCAAACTTGGCTTACAACCCTACAATTTATTCAGGCTTGATTCCTCAATCCAAGGAAAGAATCGTATCGTGTCTAACTAACAAAATAGCAGATAAACTTGAGCTTAACAAATTATGCAGATAAGAAAATTAAAAAAAAGATAAACATGAGCTGAACCAACAAATATGGATCAGATCAGGTTCGGAAGAGAATATAAAGCTAAGTGAGTGAAAGTCGCGTATTTGGTTATAAGAGGCCTAACAATCCTGCCCGCCTGAAAAAAAGAAAGCTTGTTCTCAAGCTGGAAAGTCTGGGAATCGATCTCTGAAAGCGTAATAGTCTTTCCACATTGCACCTTCAATTGGATGGCCAACCCAATGGACTAAGAGGCGAGAAACAACTTGATTGCAAAACTTAAAGATACCACGATCCGGAATCTTGAGTGGAACCCAGTCAGTAACACTTTGATAAGAAATTGTAGGAAGAGTAGGGGAGACTATAGTAGTGAAGCCCAACTTGCCCTTGAGAAGGGAAACATGGAAGACGAGATGCAACTTACAGGCAAATGGAAGATCAAGTTTATAGGCAACTGGTGCAAGCGCTGAAGAACTTGAAATGGTCCATAGAATCGAGGAGCAAGTTTGTTAGAGCCTTGGTGTAACGACTTAAACTCGAGGGTCTGGATCATTATCCGGGTCTTTAATCGAACCTGATGTCATCTAAGGGTATTACGGTCATTTTTAATATAATTAACGTATCATACTATGTTTTGTATTATGTGAAATTCACGTATTTGGTTATAAGAGGCCTAACAATCCTGCCTGCCTGAAAATTCAAAAAGCTTGTTCTCAAGCTGGAAAGTCTGGCAATCGATCTCTGAAAGCGTAATTGTGGAGGGAAAAAATCCCCCCTCCAGTAAGAATCGTCCACGTCATCATATTACAAAATTATCTTAGGTACAGCAAGGGCCCAATCGGTGTCAAGCCCAAATTGGGAGAACCCAGTCCAGAGCAAGCCCAGACAAAGTCTTGGCTCCCATATAGACCGCTGACCCAGGCCATTCGGCCCACTTACCAAGCCCAGACGTCAACAGCCCGGGGCACCAAGGGTGAACTCCAAGCCCATTAGCTGAATCGTCTGGATCAGCCCACATTCAGGCCAATCCTAATTAAAGGTAGACCAGTCCTGCTAGACAAATGAATCAACAAAGAAAGCAAGTTCTGTGCAAGGAAAGTCCTGCATGGAAAGAATTGTAAAAAGGAAAGGGTTGTAATTGTAAAGAATGTTATATATGGAATGGATTGGAGGACAAGCCATGCGAGTCCTACCATGATTCCACTACTTTGTTTCCTATAAATAGAGGCCTAGACCTCCAATAAGATCATTGAGCATTATACACTTATTTCTGAGTAATATATTTGCTTGTTCTGAGTGAGTTGTATTTTTCTTTTTATTTATTTTAGTAGAGAGAAATTTTGCACCGTTGGCGCCGTCTGTGGGAACGTATAGAAATATACTCCCACTCTTGTTTCAAATTGTTTTTGTTTCCACGATTTGGAATGTCAAACGGAGAATCAACGGCGGCTGATCAGCAGATGGAGTTGATGCAAAAGATGCGAGAAGAGTTCTTGCATCAATTCGAAGCACTCCATCAGGCGAATGAAGCCAGCGTAGCCCAGATTGTATTACTTCAACAGCAAAACGACACCCTACAAATAGCTATGGTTTAGTTAACACCTTAGCTACCACCAGTTGATATGGCTGCACCCCCTCCCAACCAAAACGAGCCTCAGGTTAATGGGGTTCGGCTGAATGAAGTTCGGCCTAGTGAAGTTCAGCAAGAGTAGACGACAAGGTTTGAGGCGGTGGCTTCGGACAATCTTCCTCGTTGCACACAGGACGAACAGGCTGAGTCCAGCCATAAGCTTACGGTATGGTCTAATGGTGTTCCAGATGTTGCAGGGGTAAATGAGGCCTTTGACGAGAAGAGATTCTTGAGAGTTCAAACGCCTATCGAGATGGCCAGGGAATATAAGAATTCTCTCGTGAAGACCCCATTCACTAACGATGTGTACCTTGTTGACAGACCTAAGAAATTCACTATGTCTTCCTTTACCCAGTTTGATGGTACGGGGGATCCTTCTCGGCACCTAGATCACTAAGCATAAAAGATGGCTTTAGACGATCACAATGACCCATGGATATGCAAAGTTTTCCCTACCAGTCTAACAGGGGCTGCACTGGAGTGGTTCAGGAATAGGCCACACAAATCTATTCCAAACTACGAAACTTTGTGCACTATGTTCCTGGCGCAGTATTGCGGTAATAAAAAGTAAAAGAAGAGTATTGCTAGCCTTTTCACTATAAGGCAAAAGAAAGGAGAAACATTACAGGATTTCTTGTCCAGATTTGCCATCCTGCTACCGCAATAGAAACATTCAAACTTGCAATGATTCAGGGAACTAAGTTCCATACATCCCTAGTTAAATATTCCCCTTCGGATATGCAGACTCTCAATGCTACGGCACAGATATACATCTAGCTTGAGGAGAATGTGGCCCACCGGGCGCAACATGCTACCCTCGTTACAGTAGAGAACAAGCTTCAGGAAAGGGTTTCAAACTAAAAAAGCCGAAAAAGCTAGCACGTTTCGGCACTAGCCATTCAAATACTCGAGAAAAGGCAAAGGATAGAGGAAGTGTTCACACCTCTCCACATAACCTTGGCTCGGCTATTCCAGGAGAATAAGATGAAGTTTGCAGCCCCTCAGCCGGTAAGGCAACCTTTGGAACAGAGAGACAAGAACAAGCACTGCGCCTACCATAGAGATTACGGGCATACAACTAATGATTGCAGATCCCTTAGGCGGCAGGTGGAAAACATGATACTGAGAGGTGAATTGGTAAACTACCTCATAACAAAGGAGTATGTGAAGCCCCTGGAGGTCAATCCTCAGAAAGTCGAAGGTAATCAAGTGAAGGTCATCCATGCAATACATGGAAGATCGGAGGATGATCAAGAGTCAAAGGAGGTATACAGATCCAGATTGAAGATAACCCATAAGCTAAGGAGGTTATCCTCAGTGAACGCTATCGTTTCGGGAAGCGTTAACATTGGGTTCGGCGATGAAGATCTATCCAGAGTTCAACTCCCCCACGAGGATCCGTTAGTCATCAGTCTCTTGGTGGCGAATTTTATGATTAAGAGGGTTTTGATAGACCCAGGTAGTAGTGCCAACATTATCACAAAGGCGGTCTTTGAGCAGCTGGAGATTCCGTTATCATCAATTCGGCCCACCTCCAGCCCCTTGATGGGTTTTGATGGTACAAAGGTGGACCCCTTTGGGGTAATTGACTTATCCGTGACCGCGGCAAAGAGGACACTGAAGGAGAACTTTGTTTTAATGGAGATCCATCCTTCTTATAATCTCATTATGGGAAGAGGTTGGATCCACCAAATGAACGGGGTTCCGTCTACCCTTCATCAAGTGATGCGATGCTTGTCTCTGGACGGTAAAGAGGTTATTGACCTCAGGGAAGATCAAGTTGCTGCCAAAGAATGCTACATGTTGACACAGAATGAGGCAAAGAAGGTAATAAAACAGTCCCAACCAATCGTACCTCTTGGGAGCATGTCCAAATAGCAATTACAGAATCTTCTACCCAGGTATTTGAATGTAGAAGATGAGGCCAAAGTTGAAAAGCCTACCAAGGAGTCTCTGGAGGCTGTCGAAGTAATCCTCGATGATCCTCAGAAAGTCACCTACATAGGCTTTTCCCCCACGGTCGAAGAAAAGAAAGCATTGATTGATGTCATTCGATGGAACGCAGATGCATTTGCTTGGGAGCATTCAGATATGGTAGGAATCAATCCTTCAGTCTCATGCCATAGCCTGAAGGTAGATCCGGCGTTCAAATTTGTTAAGCAGAGGCACAGAAGGTTCACTCCTGAGCGCAACTGAATTATAGCTGAAGAGGTAAACAAATTGCTTCAGGCGGGCTTCATCCGAGAAGTGCACTACCCACAATGGCTCTCTAACGTGGTGGTAGTTCAAAAGAAGAATGGAAAATTGAGGGTGTGCATAGATTTTACTAATCTCAACAAAGCCTGCCCAAAAGACAGTTTTCCATTACCCAAAATAGATCAGATGGTTGATGCTACCACTGGTTTTAAAAGGCTCACATTTCTTGATGCATACTCTGGCTATAACCAAATCCCCATGAATCCAGAAGATGAAGAGAAAACTGCCTTCATAACAGAGAAAGGCACCTACTGTTATAGTGTTATCCCCTTTGCGCTCAAGAATGCTGGGGCAACTTACCAGCGTTTTGTTAACAAGATCTTCAAGGAGATGTTGGGAAAAACGATCGAGACCTATATTGATGATATGGTAGTCAAAAGTGTGAAGAAGAAGGAACATCCTAAGCACCTCCAAGAGGTTTTTGACACTTTGAGAAGGTATGATATGAAGCTGAACCCTTCGAAGTGTTCTTTTGCGGTTTCTTCAAGACAGTTCCTCAGCCATATTGTAAACAAAAGGGGAATTGAGGTAAGTCCGGCTCAGGCACAGGCCCTTATACAAAATCAAGAGCCAAAAACCCGTAGGGAAGTACAGGTTTTAACTGGCGAATCGAAGCTCTTACTCGATTTATCTCTCGATTGTCAGATAAGTGCAA